GGAGCTTGGTTTTATGATGTCCATGTTCATATCGATTTTTTCATGTGAACAGGTACTTTAATTTCTAACAACAGGCCGAGTGAACCGAAAGTATTTAATGTGGTTACTCTCCAGCACGGAAATTACTTTTCCTCATTTCCTGAAAACATCCCTACATTTTTCTTCTATATAATGTAATTTTCCTTAATGAGAGTGGCACTGCTTTTACTCATCAAAATGCTATGATAGTAGAAGTATTTTTCCCTTGGGAGGTCACTTATTTTAAATTGAAGTATTAACGGGCTTTGCAGAATCTATTTCTTGATTAGGTTTGTTTTAGTTGTGGGTGGGATATTTTTATATTCATTAGTTTTCTCTTTGACACAATTTAGACTGATTTTTTTTCCTTTGTTAGACCTAACTTGCAGTGTATTTTCTAGATTGCAAAGTGGAAAATGAAATACATTATAATAATAATAAGCTAAGGTTACATATAGTTTTAAAAGTTTCAAAGAGTCTTGATATAAAATCAGTTTATATTCTGGAAATATTTATAATAAAGTGTTCTAATTTCTGCATTTTGTTGTTCTGTGTCAAGTATGTGTTCCCAGTCAGTGATGATTTTCTTTTGGAAGAGAAATAATGGAGTAGTTATACTTGCGAGGAAGATCTTTTGGGTGGGTCACACTTTACAGTTGTAAAAATTCTTTACCTCGCTTATTCATATTTCAACCCACTTTTTAGGATAGAAATCTATTAATGACCATAATTTTTCCAAATAGTTGAAATTGATAATTCCCTTTTTTAAAAAAATTATGGCCTGGGAAACTGAGTCCCAGAATCCAAGTCTCAGCTATGCCATCAAGTTGTTATGTGACTTTGGGGGAGTCACTTAACTTCATTTTCCTCATTATCAAATATGACTAGAAAGATTGGCCCCTAAAATGCCTTGGATAGCAAGATTCTGTGATATGAAAACTCTTTTTGCTTTCCACAATGCTGGGCTTACATGTCTATTTTAATATTAACTTTAGAATTATTTTGCTAAAAGTGATTTTAGCTTATATGCTAAAATACATATAAATATTTATAGGTGTGTGTGTGTGTGTATATATATATATATATATATACACATATATATGTTATATGAGAGATATATATGTATCATATAAATCACTCCATATATTCCCCACACACACAGCCATCCTCTTGCATGTAACCAGTCTCCCTACCCTTGCTGGGCTGCTGCCTTACTCAGCCCTGGCCTTTCTCTGGATCACCACCCTGCCTAGCCTCCTACCTGCCTAGGCCCCAAGTAGCAAAGAAGGAAAGAAGGGGAAGAGGAAGGAAGAGAGGGTAGATGACCCATTTTATTTTAAACTAATGACCACAAACCTCCAATCCATTGAGTTTCCATAGTAAACTCTCAAAGACACCACTTTTATATTCTCTTCCCTCAAAACTTTCCCTTCCTAGTGCCTCCCATAAGGCCTCCTTTCTCAGCTGATGACCTCACCTCACACTCCAGTGAGAAGTCTTCAGAGGGGATTATAACTTATTATGGTACCACCAGACTGATCAACTTCCCTCAGGTAGTCTGTTCTCTGTCTTCCCTCCTGTTACAGTTAAGGTGTCCCTGCTCTCAGTAAAGACCACTCTCTCCCCTCATGCACTGGATCCTACACCCTTTCACCTCCTCAAGGTCTTCATCTCTCCTGCACCATGAGTCTCTCCACCTTTACTGGATTATTCCATTAGAATGCAAACATGCTTCTGTTTCCCCTCTACAAAAAACAGTAACAACTCCCTTGACCCCCATATCGTCTTTCAGCTACCTCCTTTCTCTTTCACAAAAGAACTTGTCTATGCCAGCTGTCTACACTTTCTCACCTCTCATTCTCTCCTCCATCTCTTCCATCTAGTTTCTGTCCCTACCACTTCCCTGAAACTGTTCTTGTCAAAATCTCCAATGACCTCCATGTTGTCAAATCCAATGGATATTTTTTATTTGTATTCAGTTCAGCCTCTCAGCAGCTTCCATCTGGTCAGCACCTCTTCCTTGAAATGCCCCTCCCTCAGCCTTCATAGCACTGCATTTGCCTGATTTTCTTTACCTCCATAGCTCCTCCTCATGGGCCTCTTTACTGGTTCTTTCTCCACCTACCTCGAAATGCATCATCATGTATAGTGCATCAGGGACTAGCTCTAGACCATCACTCTGTAATCACACATCCTAAGTGATCTGATCGAGGCCCATGGCTTTAAATGTACCTGTATATCGATGTTGTAGACTACGTGTTCCCCACCCACCAAATTCATATGTTGAAATCTAATCCCCAGTGTAATGGTGTGTGGAGGTGAGGTCTTTGGGAGGGAATTAGATCATGAGGGTAGAGCCCTTAGGAATGGGATTAGTGCCTTTCTAAGAAGAGGCCAGGGGCGCCTGGGTGGCGCAGTCGGTTAAGCGTCCGACTTCAGCCAGGTCACGATCTCGTGGTCCGTGAGTTCGAGCCCCGCATCGGGCTCTGGGCTGATGGCTCAGAGCCTGGAGCCTGTTTCCGATTCTGTGTCTCCCTCTCTCTCTGCCCCTCGCCAGTTCATGCTTTGTCTCTCTCTGTCCCAAAAATAAATAAACGTTGAAAAAAAAATTAAAAAAAAAAAAGAAGAGGCCAGAGCTACATCAGCCACCTAGTCTATGGTAATTTGTTATAGCAACACAAATTATCTAAGATACCTCTAAATTTCTATTTCTAGGCTACATCTTCTCCCTGAGTTCTAGATTCATAGCCAACTGCACTTGTTGATATTTCCACTTGGAAACCCAAAAGAGTACTTGCTTCCCTCATCACCAGGCGTTCTTTCCCGCCTCTTCACCATCCACTCATCCCCATCTCTGTGAATAACAATACCAACTCCATTGTTCAACCTTTCCTCTCCTACATCAGGCCCATCAGTGATTGCCCCTGGTTATACCATCACATAATCTCTCCTATTGTCCACTTCTCTGCATCTTCGTTGACGGCCATCCTATCCCAAACCATCGTTTATCCTTGCACTAAACAGGACAAGTAAGTCTGCAAAGAGCTGCAGAACTGGAAGAAATCATCATGGGTTCTGAATTGGTGAGTGCAAAACAGGCACCAGAGGCACCCAGCAACCTATGACTGTTATGGCCATCTAAGCCCTGAGGATTTCAGAAATACCCAGCAAACATTTCCTTCAGAAGGACAAAACCCTGCCTCAAAATGAAACAAAACAAAAAAATCTGCTGGGTTGAGAAACCAAACTGAGCTGGGAAGTAACACTAGGAGTAAGGAGAAGAGAATGTTCAAACAGGGAGCAGGAAAAGGTCCCAGATGAAACAAAACCCAGAAACTGCTGTAACAGCAAAATACAGCATCTAAGGTTCTCACCTTAGCAGGTAAGACCTGTAGGCCAATAGGAAATAGAGCAGATTTTTCTGAAACGAGCCTTAACCCTGAAAGGCAGAGAAATAGTATTTTGCACCCTTCACAATAACAAAAGAGGGAGCCCTGAGCTGTGAAGCTATGAAAGGTACCCTAGGTCATTCCTTTTTCATAAAGGAACCTTCCAGTAGTCAAGGTTAACACATTTCATTTCAATCTTGGAAAAGAGGAGAAAGTGACCTAGCCACACATAAGGTATTACAAGAGAAAAAATGAACTGCACATATTTTGACAAGAAGACACCAGAAGAATTCAGACACTAAGCAGATGAAAACTCTGACCTAACACTTCAAACAGGGCTGAAGTGAGCATAGACAATATAGAAAAAGAAAATAAAGCATAGAAAGGAGAATAATGAGGATAAGGCAACAAAAGTAAGGAAAAAAATACAAAAGACCTGCAAAAAGGTGATTAAGGATAAAAGATAAGCAAAGGAGACTCAAATACACTTGGAGTCTCTAAGGAAGAAAACAATCAGTGAAGCAGAACAGACACTTAAAGCTATGTTTATTGATGTGTAATTTGTGTTTATTAATGGCAATATGTATGTGCATTTGAAAAACAGTTGCAGGTGTGCATGCAAAAGGTGGTTGACTTATTTAGGCAATGCATGCAGCGTTCTGACCCTGGGCAATAACTCCCAAGACAGTTTTGAACTTTCAGATCTGACATACTTGGTTTTGAACTCCAGTTGTACACTTACAAGCTATGTATGGCACATTCTTTGT